TCCAGGGTCAGTTTCTTCCGGTGGAGGCCGACCGTTTGCGTTGGTGTGGGGCGTACCAATTTTCAGGCCTCCAAGGACGGAAGGGGATGAAAGAGGCGGGTATGTCAGGGGCAACGTTAGTGGGGGGGAATGCATCGACCCCCAATCGCCCACTCATCGTGCGCGATAGGCCACCCTGCCCAGGAACGCACGGCTTCGCTATGGGGGGCCATCGTCGACCTATTGGTGATGTGTCGCAGGTTCCGGGTCGATGTTCCTCCCCTCCCAAGTCAGTCCTTCTTTTAAACAGGTGTAGGCCGGACGGGGCTAGGACGAGGATAAATCTGTTTCAGAGCGTTGCGGAACGCTCTCAGAGCATTCCGGAATGCTCTGAGAAGGCCGCGGCGCCCGAGACATCTTCCAGAGCCACCGGGTCTCAGAGATTCTCGATTTTCCCTCCCCCGAGTTCACCCTCGTCCTGGCTTCGTTTTAGTAGCGAGGGAGGAGCCAGGTCTCTACCAGTCGTGCCGCGTCAGGGATTCCAGTGAGCAGATTGGCAGCAGCTATGCCTCTTCCTTCCCGCTGCCAGCGGCACAGGCCCAGCAGTGTTCGCTGCATGCGCGCTGTCGGTTGTGCTACGAGGCTCGCCTTGGATGGCAAGTATATGCGAGCATTCCGTTCCGCTCCGTCTAATTTTCTCTTCGAGCATTTGGGAATGTTTTATTCTAGGTCGCTCTCTAGGCTTCGCGGTACGGCTCCGATTCTTCATCCTGTTCTTCTCCCCTGGGGGGCGGCGCGAGAGCGCGAAGTTATTTGCGCAGCGCGAGTCGCGAAGATACGCGCCCTTGTTTTTTCTGAGCGAGGAGATGTTGGGCGAGGATCGAGGATTTGACATCGAAGGCTTCTTATCGAGGCTTCCTGGAGGATCTGGAGGGGAGGAGCCGGGACGACGATCCGAATGCTGAGGCCTTTGACGTCTTGGGCGCTCGGTCAACGGGGAGCTCTTCGCGGAGCTCCCCCGCCGCCACGGTTTCGGTCGGGCGTTGCGCATTGGCGGAGCGACAATTTTTTGGGGGGGAGAAAGGTGCCATCTTTGTGTCCTAAAAAAGGACCCTGCAGGGGCCCCCTGGGGCCCATTCAGGGGCACGAAGGCTGATCGCTTGTCCCCCCCCCAAAAAAAACACCGACGCCGCCACGGCTGCACCCTCCACCGTCACGTCTCGAGCCCCCTCTGACTCTCAGCCTCCTTCCTCGAGCCTCGGGGTCCGCCTCCTGTGAGGCTAACCCTCCGAGGCTTCGTCACCCAGGCAAGCAAGACCGCGCGAGGCCCTCGACCTCCCTGTCGTCGCAGTAACCTCCCCCCCCCTCTTTCCCCTCCTGCACCTCCTCCTCCCCCCCCCTCCTCCTCCTCCTCCTCCTCCTGCGCCTCCTCCTCCTCCTCCTCCTCCTCCTCCTCCTCCTCCTCCTCCTCCTCCTACCCCCCCTCCTCCTTCCCCTCCCCTACCGGGTAGGCTCGGGGGGGGGTCGCATCAACCCCCGATCGCCCACTGCTCGCAGGAACGCGCGGCTGCGCTATCGGGGCCCCTCGCCGCTCTGGTGGCGATGCATCGCCAGTTCTGGGCCGATGCTCCCACCCCCAGCAACGTTCCCCCATCAGAGGCACCCGCATCCTGTCCAGCAGGGGGGGAGGGGGGGGGAGAGAAGGAGGAGGAGGAGGGGGAGGAGGAGGAGGAGGAGCAGGAGCAGGAGCAGGAGGAGCAGGAGGAGCAGGAGGAGGAGGAGGCAGGAGGGAGGAGGAAGGGAGGAGGGAGGAGGAGGAGGAGGATGGAGAAGGAGGAGAGGAGGAGGAGGAGGAGGGAGGAGAGGAGGAGGGAGGGAGGAGGGAGGAGGAGGGAGGAGGGAGGAGGGAGAATGGAGGAGGGAGGAGGGAGGAGGGAGGAGGGCCAGACCACAAGGATCGGTCGTGGCCTCCAAGGGGGCCCGACGCCGGCCGGCGGCGAGGAGCGGCGGGCGCTCCCGCCTCGGGGGCCCACGGTCCGATGCGATCGGTCCGATGCGGTGTCGGTGCCGCTCGTCGAGGGATGCACAGCGGCATGAGCACATGATTCAGAGCCCCGAATCGTCAGGGGTAACTCGGGTCAGGGATAACTCGGGTTCGTTTTCCGGGAATGCAAACCCGAGTTACCCCGGACCCGAGTTGCCCCGGATAATTCGGGCGCCCAGAGCCCCGAATCATCAGGGGTAACTCGGGTCAGGGATAACTCGGGTTCGTTTTTCGGGAATGCAAACCCGAGTTACCCCGGACCCGAGTTGCCCCGGATAATTCGGGCGCCCAGAGCCCCGAATCATCAGGGGTAACTCGGGTCAGGGATAACTCGGGTTCGTTTTCCGGGAATGCAAACCCGAGTTACCCCGGACCCGAGTTGCCCCGGATAATTCGGGCGCCCAAATGATGGGCCTGTTTTCCACCACCACCACCATGAGCAGCGGCATGAACACAGGAGTTGGAGGGGGAGGGGGTCCTCCTCCTCCACCTCCTCCTCCCCCTCCTCCCCCTCCTCTTCCTCCTCCTCCTCCTCCTGCTCCTCCTCCTCCTCTTCGTCCTCCTCCTCGTCCTCCGCCTCCTCCCCCTCCAACTTATGGTGGTGGTGGTGGAAGACAGGCCCATCAACATAGACTGGAGGAGCTCCGCAAGTCTACGGTCTGGGTACCTTCCCAGACATGCGACGTTCGGATCTTTTCAGTGCGCTGTCCCTGGAAGTCCTGAACTTCCTCCCTGAAACCGGATTTTCATCCTGAGTCGGTTTGGACTGCCCCAGGGCCCGGCGAGGGCCTCCTGAGGCCGAAAGCGGTGACAAATTTCTAGGCCTCCCAGATGGGGTCTGAGTAGATGGGTTCGGAGGATCGCGCCGCATCGCCGATGCACCGTTGATGCGGCTCGATGTGGAGCCCGTGCTTCTCCGCGCTGGCGTCGCCGATGCATCGGCGATGAGGCGCGATCCTCCGACCCCATCTACTCGGACTCCACCTGGGAGGCCATCAAAGCCTCCGCCCTGATTTTGCTACGGCGCGGGCATGTCTGGGCTCTCGTTTCCCCAGGTGCGGCCCGACCTGGACGCACGTGCCGATCCGAGGCGGCGTCCCAGTCCTCGGGGGCGGCCGCGAGGGGGGAGACGACTACGGGGGCGGGGGATGTCCTGGCCAGGCGGGACCCAGGACAGTTCGCTGAAGAGTCGGACATGTCCCTTGACTCAAGCAGTGGCGAAGCGTCCTGGCTCGCCTATAGGCCTACCAAAGAATGTTCTGATAACTTGTTGTGGTTTGCACGAAATGTTCTTAGAACATTTCTGGCTGGGACTGTCTTGTTTTAACACATCGGGTTCATGTTCCAAGAACATTGTTTTTGTGATTGGAACATTTTGAATTCTAAGAACATGTCGTGGTAGGCCTATAGGAATGGCGGGACGGTCGGTCCCTGCTCAATTTGCGGGAGGGGTCTTCAAAAATTCCTCTCTCATTTCAGTACGTGCCTTGGCCCCCCCTGGTCCGCGCACATGCCTCCGGCCATGATTTGAGACCCCCCCTCTTGGACGCCCTCCTCCCCGAGATCCGACGCTCCAAGAAAAATCCAACATCGCAGACTATCACGGAGCCCCGGACCCCGTCTTTCTGCGTCACTGTTCGGGCCGGACCGATCTGCGAGGGTCCCGGGGCCCGAAACTGAGCGAAAGCGCCCGCTGCGAAAGGATTGCAGCCCCAAGACTTAAGTCGGGCCTGTCCCTCCATGAGGAGGAACATTCAAAAGCAGCCCCAAAATAGTCGAGGGACGATGTGTTTGGAGTGTTTCTGCGCAGGTTTGAATATTTTTTGTGGGATGCTTCTCATGTTTCCTCCGAACTCCGCCTGTGGGGGGACACGCCCGACCGAACCCGAGACCTCGGGGCTCTGGGTCGCCCCGCGCCCGGGCAGGCTGCGCGACCCCTACTTCGAGGAGCGGCTGGACGCGGCGCCCACGCCCGACGGGCACGAGCAGCCACCCGACGCCTGGCGGCTCCTCCCGCTGCCCCGGGGCACCGCTCGGAGGTGTCTCGGGAGCGGAAAAGAGGGGGGTGATGACTAGGGGGGGGGGTGGATGTCATGGAGCGGGCCATGATATTTCCCCATATTCCATGGCGCCCCTTCTTGTTTCATTGCGTCCCTGGCCCCCCCGCTGGGCCGCGCACGTGCCGCCGGTCATGATTTGCACCCCCCCCCTCTTGGACACCCCCCTCTTGGCCGCTCCCGAGTGTCGATGGTTCGAGCAGTGGCGAAGCGTCCCTGGCGTGCCTCTGTAGGCCCACCGACCAAGGCTCCAAGAAGCTTTCTGTGGTCTGCACGGCATGTTCTCGGAGCGTTTCTGGCCGATACCGTCTTGTTTGGACACATCGGGCTCAGGTTCTGAGAGCATCGTTTGCGTTCTTAGAACATTTCTGGGTTCTAAGAACATGTCGTGGTAGGCCTACAGGAATGCCGGGACGGTCGGTCCCTGCTCAAATTATGTCAGCGAACAAATTGTAGGCCTCCCAGATGGGGTCGGAGGATCGCGCCGCATCGCCGATGCATCGTCGATGCGGCTCGATGCGGAGCCCGATTTCCTCCACGCCGGCGTCGCCGATGCATCGCCCACGTTGACGATGCATCGCAGGTGCATCGCCGATGCATGGCCAATGCATCGGCGATGCATCGACGATGCGGCGCGATCCTCCGACCCCATCTACTCCGACCCCATCAAGGAGGCCTCGACAAATGCACGCACAGAGCCGGAGCATGCACGGGGAATGGACGGCCGAGGGACGGCGAGCTGCCAGGGGCAGCGGGAGGGGTCGGATGGGGCTGCAGTCAAGAGGCTGACATAGCCTCGAAGGGTCTTCGGTTTTGATCCTTCCGCCCCCTGTTTTTCTCTTGGCGGGGAAGAGGCTCATCCCCCCTCCTCCTCCTTCTCCTCTTCCTACTCCCTTATGCAGATGTCCTTATCCTTGTCCTTCTTTTCCTCCTCCGTCGTCGTTGCTGCGAGGCGGGTGCTGCGGGTGAGTTTCCGCTATTGGCGGGGCCCCAGAACATCAAGAGGGGCGTCGGCACGATAATTCTTGACGCTTCGCGAATGCCCACCAGCCCATCCAGACACGATCGCCAGGTGCATGGCTTTGATGAGGGCAGCGTAGAAGCGTACAGAGCGACAGCCGCCTTGGATGCCTTTCGGGGGTGCGGGGAGGGTGGGAACATGTGGTGTATGAGTAGTCAAAAGGTAGGTTGAACAGGTCGACCTGGTGCCGTTTTGGGTCGATGGAGGTCTTCTTGCGGTCCTCTTCGACAAATGTTGACTTGCCACGGTTATGTCATCAGGGAGGGATTCCTGCACCGCCACGTTGCCAATCTTTATCCGAACGGGTTTAAGAACACATCAGATCATATTGATCCGCATGTCAGAGGAGGAAGAGGTGGAGGAGGAGGAGGAGGAGGTGGAGGAGGAGGATCACACTGACCCGAATGTGAGAGGAGGAGGAGGAGGAGGAGGAGGGAGGAGGAGGAGGAGGGAGGGAGGAGGAGGAGGAGGAGGAGGAGGAGGAGGAGGAGGAGGAGGAGGAGGAGGAGGAGGAGGAGGAGGAGGAGGAGGAGGAGGAGGAGGAGGAGGAGGAGGAGGAGGGAGGAGGAGGAGGAGGAGGAGGAGGAGGAGGAGGAGGAGGAGGAGGAGGAGGAGGAGGAGGAGGAGGAGAGGAGGAGGAGGAGGAGGAGGAGGGAGGAGGAGGAGGAGGAGGAGGAGGAGGAGGAGGAGGAGGAGGAGGAGGAGGAGGAGGAGGAGGAGGAGGAGGAGGAGGAGGAGGAGGAGGAGGAGGGAGGAGGAGGAGGAGGAGGAGGAGGAGGAGGAGGGAGGAGGAGGGAGGGAGGAGGAGGAGGAGGAGGAGGAGGAGGGGAGGAGGAGGAGGAGGAGGAGGAGGAGGAGGGAGGAGGAGGAGGAGGAGGAGGAGGAGGAGGAGGAGGAGGAGGAGGAGGCGGAGGTGGAGGTGGAGGTTGAGGAGGCGGTGGAGGAGGAGGAAGAGGAGGAGGAGGAGGAGGAGGAAGACTTGATTCCAGGCCGAGGGCGGGGAGAGACGGCGGCCTCGCTGCCTCTCGGGGTCCCTCTCTTCCTCGGCGCGGGCCCTCGCAGCCCCCCTCCCCCCCACCCTCCATGGAGTAGATGTAAATCGGGCACGTCCCTCTGTAGGAGGAATATTCAAAAATAGTAGAAATAATCAGGGGACGATTTGTTGAGTATGTTTAAACTGTTTTTTTAAATATTTATTGACATCTTTGTATTGAATCGCTTCGCTCATTCCGCCGGCCCTGGAGCCCTCTTCAGGGCCTCTTGGGCGCCTCTTGGGGACCTCTTGGGAGTCTCTTGGGGCTCCTTGGCGGCGTCTTGGGGGCACCCAGGGGGCTCTTGGGGGCCTCTTGGGGCAGGAGGGGGGGTAGTCGATTGCGGCCCCCCCCTCGGAGGCCACGATCCTCGCGAAGGGTGTCAAAAAATTTCCCCCGGTCCGGCATCTCTGGCCCGATCCTGCAGGGACCCTCCCGGGGACCTCCCGGGACTTGCCCAGGGTACTTTTCGCCCGGGGACCCCCAGGGGCCGCCCCGCGCGCGCGACCTAGAAATATTGTTAACCAGTTACCGAAGATCTTAGCACGCCTCTGGCCCGTTGGGCCGGCGAATTTGTCAGTCAACATCCGCTAGTAGGGGGACATGCCCGACCTAAGAGTAGATCTTGGCTGCTCTTGGCGCCTGCTTCAAGCAGGTGGAGGAAGCACTGGGAGTACTGCCCCATGGGGGTACTGTCCCATGGGAAGGGGCGGCGGAAGACGGGGGTGGGCCATCGACAACAATTTACTCCTAACTCTAATAGCACAGTGAAGACGTGGTCTCACTGCGGCCCCCGTCTTTGGATTAAGGATCATGATTCTGGGCCGTCTGCTTGGATACATCTGCAGGAAGGAGCCGCTTTTTTTATCCCTGATGTTTTTTTGGCCCTCCCAAACCTATAGGACCCTCCAAGAGGATCAGGCGTCGAGGGGGAGGAGAGGGGGAGGAGCTTGCTTGGTTCATCCCCAGAGGAGAGGGGGAGGAGAGGGGGAGGAGAGGGGGAGGAGAGGGGGAGGGGGGGGGCAACACGCCATGCACGCACACTCGCCCAGGGCCCAGGGTCTGCAGCGTCTTAGCTCGCCCTCCAGCGCGAGCGCGCCGGGGTCTCCGAGGCCTCCTCGAGGCCCCGCCAGAGGCCGCCTCGAGGCGAGGCCGCCGGGGGCCGCCACGTGCGCGGTGCGCCTCCTCCTCCTCCTCCTCCTCCTCCTCCTCCTCCTCCTCCTCCTCCTCCTCCTCCTCCTCCCGCCGCCGCTGCCGGGAGGGCCCCCCCCCGGGAGTGCAGCCGGGGGGGCCGTGCGGGCCTGCGTGCGATGCCCAAGCTGCCGGAGGCGCTGCTGCCGGGGCTGGACTGGGACGATTTCCTCACAGGACGGCGCGCCCTGCTCTCGGCGGCGAGCGAGGGGGGGGGGGGCAGCGGGAAGGAGAAGAAGGCCTTCGCAAGAGGCGGCTTCTGTGTGGGGTTTTCTGCGAGGTGTTCCGGGTCTTCGGGGGAGGCCCAGAAGACTTCTCAGAAGGCGAGGGGAGTTCCGAGCCTTCTGAGAAGGCCCGCCCCTTCTCACTTCCCCCTGGCTCGCCGCCAATTTGCAGTAGCAGATCTTGGGAGCCTCTGGTGTATCCTCTTAAGTCCGTCTTTAGCGTCGATTAGCGTCTGGTAGTCGATGAGATATCGCCGATTTAGCGTCGGTTAGCGCCGAGTGGCGTTTGTTTAGTTTCAATCAGCGCCGATTTAGCTTCCATGAGCGTCGACTCGCAAGAGCTGGCAAGATGGTACGGGAGGCTCCTTGGAGTTGCCAGCGAACGCTTTTGAAGAGGAGTATTTGCAGTTTATGGCCAACAGCCACACGTGATGCTTGAACGTGTGGTCTGTGTGTGTGTTCGTTCTGCATGTGCATTGTTCTTTGTGTGTCCGCCTCATTGTTGCGGCGAGCCGCTCCCCGAGGTGATCGGCCGGACGCTGCGTTGCGGGCGACGCGCTTTCGGGCAGCCGACCTCAGGGCCAACACCAGGGTGGAATATACTATAAGCTCAGGGGCGGCTGCATCGACCCCCGATCGCCCAGTCATTGATCGCCCAACCTGCTAAGGAACGTGAGGTCTCGCAATCAAGAGCTCATCGCCGATCCATCGGCGATGTATCGCCCGCGTGCGACGCCCAAGCTGCGGAGGCGCTGCTGCCCTGGCAGGACTGGGATTGTTTCAGGGCAGGGCGACGCGCTTCTCGGATCGATGATCCTCGGGGCGCGTGTGAGCCAAAATGTTGAGTCGGGCATGTCCCTCTAGAGGAGCAGTGTTCAATAATAGCAAGAACATCTGGTGACGATTGTTCGTGCTCTTTTGATTCGTTGTTTGATTATTGGATTGTGCCTCGTTGTTCTTCCGAGCTTCTCCTGTAGGAGGACATGCCCGACCTGACCAAAGTGTCCGGTTGCCCAGCTCGGCTCCGCCGCAGGCACGCAGCCCGTGCTGGCGCCCGCTGCGTCGCCTGCGTCGTACTTGAAGGGCTTCGGTGGACAAGCACACGTTGGCGCGAAGACACACTCTGGACGGGAGCGATGCCCTACATATATGCATGCAAGCTGGAAAGGGTGATCGGGGCCAGCCCGTCCACTCTTTCCAGCCCTGGCCAGTTTCCCTTTGTTGTGTCCAGCCCTTGCGGCCGCATCCCTGCTGCTTCGGGCTCGCTTCGCCCACTGCCAGTGTTTCCAGCCCTGGCCACGCCCACTTCACTGATTTTTCAACTTCCACTGTTCCAGCTTCCCTATGAGGTCTAGGCCTCCCAGATGGGGTCTGAGTAGATTGGGTCGGAGGATCGCGCCGCATCGCCGATGCATCGGCGATGCATTGGCGACGCGGCGCAATCCTACGACCCCATCTACTCGGACCCCATCTAAGAGGCCTTTAAGACCCCCCCTTCCCCCATCTCCGACGTGTTGACAACGACGAGACGGAGGCTTCTCTCGGGTTTCGGTCTCTGAGTAGGGGGGCCGTCGCCGAGCCCCAGGACCGTCATTCGTGATGCAAGGCTTACCTTGGGGAAAGGGGTCTAGGCGAACTGAAACCGAGACATTGAAAGATGAGGGACTTCCAGGGACCGCGTATTGAAAGAAACAAGACATCGGAGGCCCGGGTTCGAGATTCGTCGCTCGGCTTTTTCGAGGGCGTTCGTGGGCTCCCGGGGGGTCTCTCCTGCAGCGGCGCCACGCCGAGAGCAGTCTGGGGGTGCCCTGGTCGGCCGGAACGGCCGCTGGAGACTCGAGCTAGTGCCCGAAAACCATACACCTTAGGCGATGCTTAAGAAAACTTGAATTTTCGGCCAGAGTCTCGATTATTCTTAACGTTTCAATGTAAATCTTAAGATTTTGATAGAAATTTTGGGTTCTTATTCAAGTTCTGAGACCATGAATTTCTTAACCCATGATTTCTTAACCATTTCGCGTGGTGTACCCCCTCGCGAAGTGAGTAACAACACGTACAAGGTGATGCTTATCTTCGGGTTGTCGAAATACAGCTCAGGATGAGGAGTCGGTCGGAGGGAACGTTGGCTCGGGACTTCCAAGATGATTGTTTCCAGGCGTCTTCCCTTGAGTCCGTGCTGCGGCGCCCGTAAACGGGCCCAGGACCATCAGAAACGGATTCGGGTAGGACAATCACGACGGGGAGTTCTTGCTTTCGGCTTTGGCCTTTCATGGCCTTCGCGAGGTCCTGGGACTGTCAATGAACGGCTCATGATGAGAAGCCGTCCTTGGGGAACGGTTCAAGACCTCCTAGGCCGTTTTGAAGCCCTTTCGAGGGTTTCTTGGGCCGTTTTGGGGGCCTCTTGGGGCATCTCGGCGGCCTCTTTGGGCTGTCTGGGGGCCCTCGTGGGCCGTTTTGGGGCCCGTTTGAGGGCTTCTTGGGCTGTCTTGAGGCCGTTTCGGAGGCTGTTTTGGCTGTCCTGGACCTTTGAGAGTCGAAATAGGCGGGAACGCTGAACTCTTCAAACAGCCACGGGAAAATCAATTGTTTTTGGCGTTTGGAGGTGCTCTTGGGGGTCCTCTGGGGGCCCTCTTGGGGCGTCTTGGGGTCTTTGTAGGCCCTCTTGGGGCCATCTTGGGCCGTCTTGGGGCCGTCTTGGGCCGTCTTGGGGCCATCTCGAGCCGTCTTGAGGCCTATTTGGGCCCCCAAGAGTGCCAACAGGCCCATAGCAATAATTTTCTACAGGTGTTGGTAGGTTTTTAGGCCCAGGAGGGGTCCACCATCTTTGGGTCGGTGGAAGTGGCGTGGCCTTGGGGGAGGTTAGGGGGGGAGACATAATAATATAACGCAATACAATATGCAGCAATTGTGCAGTCATTGAATACATTAGATACGTTGCATTATCGCCTTCGCAGACCTGCCTCTGGCAGCACGTCACTTCCCGACGTGGATTCCTTTCGCTTCGCGGAGTGCACGTCCGGAGCACGTACAGTCACGTCGTCGCGGGGCCTCTTGGGAGCCTCCTGGGGGCCTCCTGGAGGCCTCTTGGGAGTTTCTTTGGGCCTCTTGGAGCCTTCATTGGGGCCTCCCCCCCTTCCTTTTCACACTCCCTCCCCATCTTCCCTTCCAGCGCCGGCTCTAATCATGAGCGCCGCCGTGGCCAACTTCCACCTGGCTGGCGCTGCGCCGTCGTTCGCCCAGGGGGGGAAATAACATTACACTCCAGTCGTTGTGTGGCCTTGTGGGGGTTTCTTTGAGGCCTCTTGGAGGCTTCTTGGGGATTTCTTGAAGGCCTCTTGGGTTTTTGTTGAGCCCCTTGGGGGCCTCTTGCGGCCTCTCGTGGCCTCTTGGGGGCGTCTTGGCCGTCTTGGGGCGTTTTTGCGCCGTTCCGCCCCTTCGGAGGCCGTCTTGGGGGCCTCTCGCGGCCGCCTTGGGGTTCTCTTGGGGTCCTCTTGGGTCGTCGCAGGGTTTTTTTAGACCGCCTTGGGGGCCTTTTTGGGCCGTCTTGGGGCCCTCCTGGGCCGTTTGGGGGCCCTTCTGGAGGCTTCTTGGGCCTTTTTGGGGCAATTTTGGTGGCTGCCTGGGCGGCCATGGGCTTCTGAGAGTCGGGCAAGGCGAGAACGCTGAAATCATTAACAAAAACGATCGGAATATTAAGGGTTTTGGTTTCTGGAGGCACTCTTGGGGGTCGTTTTGGGGCCCTCTTGGGACGTCTTAGGAGTTTCTTGGGCCCTTTTGGGGCCATCATGGACCGTCTTGGAGCCGTCTTCGCCCGTCTCGAAGCCATATGGAGCCGTCTTGAGGCCCCATTGGGCCTCCCAGAGGGCCCAAAGTCCAGAATCATCGATTTTACATAGGTTATGGTGTGTTTTTGAGCCCGAAATGGGGGTCTCCACCTTGGGTCGACGGATGTGGCGTAGCCCCTGGGGGGGGTTAGGGGGGAGACATAATAATGTAACACAATACAATATGTTGCAAGTGTGCAATCTTTGGATACATTGGGTACGTTGCATTATCGCCTCCGCAGAAAACGCTGCCGCTCAGCACGTCACCTCCGGACGTGGATTCTACAGGCTTGCGCCACATCCGCCGACCCCTTTGATCCTTGTCGGGGGCCTTGCACCGTAGTGTTTTCGGCCTGTCCCGCGAGCGTGCGTGGGTGTGGGGTCAGAGTCTTTCTTGCATGTTTCTTGGAATTCGGGGCGCTTTCGGAGGGCTCTCGAGGGTCTCTTGGGCCCTCCGGGGGCTCAGCGAAGCTGATGATCGAGGAACAGACAGCTGCATGTGCATAAGCCTTCGGCGCTCCGAGCAGATTTCTTGGGTCGGCGCCGGGCCGTCCCTGGCTTCGCCTCAAGCACCGCCCTTGGCGCGCTCCGCGCGCCGTGGAGAGGGGTCAGCGCTGATCCGAAAAGTTCCGCGCGGCCTGCACACAAGAGACCTCCGCGGCAGCGCCACACATCACCAGCCCGCCGCGGGCGGAACACTTCACGAAGGGGAGGAAGTGGTGTGCGCAGACTGCGTGAGCGCTGAAATTGTTTCTCGCAGTTGGCAAGCGTACGAGCGTTCGGGCCCTTGTAGGAGGAAGGTCCTGAAATCCGAGTTCCCGGAGGGGGGGGGTGCGCATTTCGCGCGAGGGGTGCGCTGAAGTGCAAGTGGTGCGTGTGAGTCCGTTGAAGTGCTCGTGACGGAGAGCCCGGGGAGCGAGCGCTGATGGCGAGAAGGCGAAGGAGGAAGTCCAGGGTGGTCAGGAGGAGGAGGAGGAGGGGGGGGGGAATGGTGGGGAGAAGGAAAACGAGGGGAGGAGAAGCGGAAGTAGGACAAGGACGTGAGATCGTGAAGGTGAATCGTGGGAGCGCGCGGGTGCGTGAATTGGTAGGCGGGGCTCCCGCCAGTTGGCCTGGCCTCATTTCCGGG